GAATGAATCATATGTATATATATTTTATTTTTATTCGTGTATATATTTTGTATAAATATCCTCAGTCTAATAATTAGATTAATAAGAAGAGGGGTTATGAATTTAGAAATGAATGTTTCTATGGAACATTGTGGAAGATTAACTTTGGCAAAGTTATTATTCGATGATATTAGAGATTGGGAGAATGAATAGAAAAGAAGAAGATATTTTTATTGAAAAAAGAAATAATAATTTGAACATATGTGTTATGTAACATATATTTTCATCTATTTAATTACGATTCTTTTTATTGAAAAAAATAATTACTTATATTTTCAGTTATTATCACAAAGATACAAGGGATGATAGTTTTACTTCTACAAGTTTGTATAAACGAAATTCTAACTGTGCCAAAGAATCTCTTCGATGTTTATTCATCTTGTTAACGCGTCTGTCGTTACGATCTGCGCCAATACGATCCAAGCTGCTCGATAAAATTAGAGTGTCACTTGCTGGAATCGATCGGGTTGGAAAGGAAATTTTATTGAAGCTGGGATGGAAACTGTCTTTTAAAAAATGTTCAGAACGTGTCGAGCGATTCAAGATCTCGATCCTTTTTCGCCCGAAGGCGGAATAAAACTTGAGAGCATTTCAATGTGGTTGATGTTTACGAGCTGTACAAGGATGATTTAGTTTATACGTTGGAAAGTTTAAAACGTTCCTCTTCTCGAGAACTGGTTCCCTCGACTGCCTCCTTATTCCTTCTCAATTTTATAAAACGAAAATACATTTTTATTATTATTTCTCGGCGAATAATTATTGGAAGCGTCGAAATCGAAGATAATCAATTTTTTCCGTCCTCCAACAAACTCGACACTTTCCAAGAAACAAAAACTTTCCACCCCCGATTCAACCCCAATCCATCCCATAAAATACCAAACGATCTTTCGATCTCGTTTAATCCTCCCAAACACTTAATCCCCTTTCGATCACTCAACAATAATAATCCATAAATTTCTCTCCTGCCCCAGCATCAACAGACGGTGTTATAAATCCCTTCCTCCTCCTCGCCGACGTTCGATATCTCGGATTGGGACAAAGCCAACTTGACGTAACCTCTGTCCTTCTCCCTTGTCCCATTCCTCCCCTCCGGCGGGGGCGGTGGAGGGGGCG